GACAAGAATTACCCTTAGTACAGAGAAGTGTCAGATACTGCTCTTCCTGCAGGATTTACACAGCAAGCAGTCATCTGATGATCCTTTCAGTAAAAGTAATATATAACATTTGTAATCTCATCTTTAAAATCACCCCCACGAGTCTGGTCCTTGGCTGTGCTTTGCTGCCTGCTTTATCTGGGAAGTTCTGGCTCAGTGGGTGTGCAACATGGTGTCCTTTTGATTGTGTGTTTTGCTTTTTAAAAGTTTGAATGAAGAAGCTTTAGATTGTCTTGGCTCATTGTGAAAATGAAATTGGCAATAACATTGTTTAATAAATTTGGGAGACTTTCAAAGCTCTTCATATTGGTATTGCAGATTTCAGTTATTCAAAGTGTAGCTGGGTACCTATCAGGCACTGCACATACGTTAATTTTGGAAATAAGCTCATTTTAAGATATTGTTTTCAATGCAGCCAAGTTCCTGTTTTCTTACAGAAAATCATGATGAAAGTCCCGAAGCTTTCCATGAGATATAAATGGACTTGGCATATAGTTATTTTCTTGTGATGTCCAATCCAAGTTCCTGTTAGATTTAAAAGAGTTTTGATCACAGATAGTTGTGTGCTGTTTACCTGCATATCTCGAGAAGCCTTTTACTCTAGTGATTTGGTTAAAATTCAGGTCTTTTTCCATTGATTTACAAACTGTATTTTTAGCAGTCCTCAAAGGGAAAATGTACAACTGAAGGCTTTTTCAAAATAATATTTATTGGCACCAGCTTGTGAAAACTGCAGTAGTTGGTGGAGATCCACTGCTGGTATCTGATTTAAGGTCTGATTTTTTTCCTTTGCTTGGTAAACTATTGTGCACAATTTAGTATTAGTCCAGACCTAGTGGTGATGACAAAGAGTATAAATAGGTCAGGCTTTTAAAGCATGTCTCCAGTTGCTCTGCCTTTGGGTCAGGTTGTGCAGAAAATGGCCCTTTATCTCATGCAAAATGTTGGGGAGATTTCTCAGCCCAAACAAAAAATATGCTGTGACTTTTCACATTGGTGTTGTGAGACACAGACCAAGAGGCAGATGTGAATGTTGTGTCAGAAGGTCAAATATGTTACCAGCTGGCTCAGATAATTGTTTTTTTTTGTTTTTTTTTTTGTGAATGTAAGGGTTGAAATACAATATTGTCCTTTCATACTGTGGAATACTTAGTATTTTAAATGCCACATTCATTGTCTTAATGGTCAACAATGAATCTGTGGTGCTTGCTATTTTTACCTTTGAGGTGTTAGAGTGAACATGTTTTTTCAAGCATTGGTGCTATAAACAAAGCATTGCTGTTGGTTTTCTGTGGGTAAAACTGCATTACTGGGGTGTTGTTTTGGATACTGTTCTTTGCTGCATCACCTGGGAGCGCTGGTGGCAGCAGCAGGTTCTTGTTCTTTCCCAAGGGAAGTTCAGTATTTGGAGGGCCTGTCTTCAGGGTCAGGATCTCTGGGGCTCTGCTTTCCTGAATGTTTATATTTCTATTTGGGTGCTCAGGTGCTGAGATGGGAGGAGGAGAAGGAGCAGCAGAAGAGAGCATTGCAGGGCTCTGGTTTACATGTGAGAGTGAGTAGGTGGCTCATGGGTCAGTTTTGCAGCATTGATTTCAGTGATTCACAGGTGCTTGCAGGTAAACACATTTGCCTTGCTGTCTTTTATTGCTTTTGGCTGCCAGTTATATCCTAGTACCTGTCAGCAAATGCTGTCCCATCAATCATATAGTTTCCAGGCTTTTCCACTTTTTGCCTCCTAGAAACTCTTCACTCAGTCTGTTCCCAGACTCCTGGACACAGTTCATGCCCATCTCGGGCACTGTAAATGGGAAACAGGAGCTGATAATAAAAGAGAGGTTTTTTATTATTTCCAACCTTGTTCTTTTTCATTTAGTAGGAACTGTATATACATACACACTGGTGGATGTGTGTATATAGATATATGTATTAAAAATATTTCTATGATAATCAGTGGATGCTCTTGTTTAGCCCGGAAATTATTCCCCTTATAGTTTTATCAACAGCAATAACTGACTTAACGTTGAAGTCTTTAAAATTATATGACTTCAAAATACCATTTTCAAAACTGTCTCAAGGTCTTAGGAACTTTAATTTCATGGCATTTAGTGTTTCAATATGCTCTTGAAGGATATGGCAGGCAGGCATTGGAATTTCAAAGTTCCTTTTTCTTTAAGCTTCATATGAAGATCTTTGTGACTCTGATTTCTAAAGCTGTGCACCATGCATCTAGATGGCAAGCGATACAAAAAAAGATATGTTTTCAAAAGTGTTATATTTTTAAAGCATAATCAATTGATTATCATCTATTTTAGCAGTTATTTTAATCCAATTATATGTATTTTTTCATTTTAATCTTTGGCATTCATTAATGAAAACTTAGAGCATTGCTTGTAGCCATGAAAAATTAGATCGAGTACACCCTGCCCTACTTAAACTGTGTATTAGCAAAGCTACTTTTTCCTTGAGAAATACTCTTTTTCACAGCTGACTATGTCTTCCCAAGTGCTTAGGAAAAAACCCTTCCTAATTGATAACCAAAAATTAATCATAGTCGGATACTTCCAGTTTGCATTCAAATAAGGTATTTCTCTGTCTAAATAAGCTTCCTTTACTTGATTATTCATATTGTAGTTCAAAATGTTTAAAAATGAAAGACAGAGTTGGATGAAATGTAGACTACTTAATACAGTGTGTATTTAATATAAAAGTTATGCATTATTCATTTTTGCAATTTGAATAACTTTGAATTTAGCATCCCTGTTCTTCATCTTTCCCTTTGATGAACAATTAATTATTAAAATATAATATTGTCAGCATATGGCACAAAAATCCTTGAAAGTGTAAAATGAGCTTCTTTCTCCTGCCATCCTTTGATGAAGGGATACCAAATTTGTGGTTTTGCAGAGCCTTTATCCAGCATCTGAAGTGATTCCATCATTGTAATTAAAAGATTACAAAAGTTAGAAATAGTTAAATTGTTAATTTTAACTGCAACATGTTTTTCTTAAATTCAAGTGCAAAACACTTTTCAAAATGTGTCTTTGCCTCCCAGCTCTTTCATGTGGAGTCATTGGCTGTTAATGCAGAGGATGTTGGCATATTCAGATGCTCTTTGGGATTCATTGTAGCGCACTGTTTCCTGAGTGCTGATATAGAGACAGCTCTGAAATAGAAATCCAGTGTCAATGTTTGTATAGTGCATTTGGAAATCAAGTCCTGTGACTAAGTTTCTAGTTTTTCTAACCAAGTTTTTCTGCATAAAAATGAGCCAATCAAATTAAATGTGACCTTTTGTTGTGATTATGACTTCTTGATTAGAATCTCTTTGAACTTTGGCCAATCACATATATTTTAGTATTTGTTATTTAAGCACACTTTTTCTCACAGTGGTGTGCTGTGATGAGGAAAAAAATGTGGATTGTTATTTGTTTATTTCCTTTTCGGAGATGCAGATGTGGTCAAAATCTACTTGGATTAGAAGGAAAGGAATTGTTCACTGAGAGGTTGCAGTATTGCTGTGACTTTAATAGAATTACTTATATTTTGGAATGCTAAAAGCTACGAAAACATCACAAACCTGTTGATACTGTGCAGAAAATAGAAGATACCTGAAGTTTATGTATCAGTGGCATCATGCAGCAACAGTGGAGTTAAAAAAGTCCCCCAATTATCAGAGTGCTGCTAAGAAGTTTAGGCAACTCCTGATATGATCAAGCCTTTTCAAGACTGTGGGATGCTGTGGAAATGAATTCTGCAGACTTCATCCTATTTGGAAGACGTGTGTGCCAATCACCAGCCCACCTGCTTCTCCCTTCTGGTGGGGTGGGGAGGGGGTGGTGGTGGGTTTGCTCAGCAACTCTGGTGAGACAGAAAAAAAGAGTTCCCTCTGCCCAAGTGTGGGCACCTGTTTGAGGCGTGCAGGATATTGAAAGTGAGGAATGGAGATGTTGGGAGAGCCCAGCCTGTCAGCCTGCCGGAGGCAGTGAGCACCTCTGCACGGGCTAAGAGGGCGCTTCAGCATCTGAGTCTACATGAATTGCAGAGGATAAATGCTCAGGGATGGCAGGGAAATTGCCTTACCTGCAGCTGTTCCCTCTTTTTGTTTGTTTCTTTTTTTTTCACCGTGTTAAATATGACCAGCTTGTCACTGTGACTTGCAGGTGAATGCTTCCAGTGCTTAGGTCTGCATTTCAGGCTGGCCAAGGAGATTATCAGAGAAAAACCGGTTTGTCCCCAGATTGCTGGACCCTGGGAAGGACTTTCTTGGATCTGGGAGAAGGGGCAGCAGTTCTGCCCGTGAGATCCATTTGTGGTGCAGTGCTGGCTGTGCTGGCAGCACCCTGGCAGTGCCAGCATGGGTGGGAGCAAGCACTGCTTGGATGTTGCTTTGGGCACCACGTTGAGCTCCAGCAGTGTCCTGTGTCCCTGCTCCTCAGCCCAGCTGCCTGGCAGCTCCCAGAGAAGTTTGGCTGAGCAGCATGGCTCTGCCTCCTCCATCTCAGCAATCCACCGAGGGTTTGACTCTGCTCCTGCATCCCTCTCTGCTGCTGGCAGAGATGGGACAGATACACTGCCTGGTGTGCTTTGGTCAGGCAGCAGCAAACAGGACCACTGGGCCTGGCTGTGTCCCACTGGGTTCTGTCTTGCTGCCATCAAGCTGGAGAGCCACGTACTGAGTGCTGGAATGCATTATTTCTGTACTGACACAAACCATGGGGTAGCAAGTGCATTTCACACCTGCACATGTCCAGAGTGTGTGTTTGGGATGGGGCTGACTAGCATTTTGGCTGCTCTTTTAATAAACCACTCGTCAGCTCTTACAGAGGGTTTGTATTTTTCATTACATATATGACAAAATATGTTGTTGCCATTACACCTTGTTAAGCTGCCTAGCGATGTGATGTCTGCTTTAAAGACACATTAAAAAAAAGTGTAATCCTGCTTGTCAATCTTCCCTGCAGAGAAGGAGACCTTTCTGGATCCCTTTGTGCTGAGGGAACTCCTGCCAACGTCGCTGGGGAGCTACTACCGCTACACAGGTTCCCTGACTACTCCTCCCTGCAGCGAGATCGTGGAGTGGATCGTTTTTCGGAAGCCTGTGCCCATTTCTTACCATCAGGTGTGTTTGTTTTGTCAGTGAAGCCCTCCTCTTCATTTGCCCTCCTCAAGACAGTGATCTCAAAACCCGCCAGTTTGATTTGGAGAACACAAATGTTTCTGTTGACAAAAAAGGAAGTGTCGTTGATTTTTTTGAATTCTCTTAAGTAATATTGTTTCTGAACAGGAGCCATCAGTCTTGAGAAGACAGTACAACATGAAACCCAGTTTCCTTTCAGTGATTTATTTCATATTGTTTTTGTTAAGATTAAATTAAGCTATGGTGTAAATAGTTACATAGAGTTCCCTTTTATTCTTTTTAATTGAAACTTTCTTTTCAAAGTAAAGTGAGTGATTTCAGTTCTGCTCAGATTTAGTAATTTGAACTAATTACATTAGAAAAGACATCTTTCCATTAATTCTCCATGCTTAACTGTTTTTATAACACAGTAAAGCTGCCATTATGTGCTCAGCGAGCTGGTGCACAAATCTTTAAAATTAGCACATAGAAGCTTTTAATGCAAATAGACACAATGTCTGGAGTTTGAAGAATTATCCTGATAAAGCATGTCTAGATGAAGTCACATGTTTGACAGTTCAGTGTATTTTGACTTTGTAAGACTGTGGTCTTTAGAAAGCCAACCTTCTGGACTTAGTCTTGCCTCTTATTCACCTGTCATAAGCCACTGAAAAAAATGTTTTTACATTACTAATTCTGTCAAGTGCACATGAACTGGGTGATCCTGACTGACAGATGTTGTGCTCAAAGGTTTCAGAAGTACAGAAGGAACCTGCTCCATGCTTTTTTTCCTGTTTTCTAGATCTCAGCGCTTCTCCCTTAGATTCTTTCATCTTTTTTTGACAGTGTTCAAAATCAGTTGCACTGCTTCAGCTGAGGCCCTCCAGAGGCTGAGGGACATGTCAGGATTCATGTCTCAGCCACCCATCCTGTTGTTATTTTGCCTGCTCCACAAAAGTGTGGTGTTCCTGCCACTGTTCAGCTCCTGGTCAGCAGGAACCCTTTTGCTGGAGGTTTTCCCTGGAGCTCTCTGGCAGTGCTGAGCACACTGTGCCCCCAGGCAGCCCCTGGTTCTGGCTGGAGCCTGGGACTCTGCACATGGTTCTGTTTGAATCAGACCCCTTGTGTTTTTCAGGCTATTTCTCTGATTGTCAAGATCATTTTGAATTCTGTCCTTGATGCAGGATACTTGCAATCCCTTGTAGCTTTTCACTACATCAATAAGTTTACTGTTTATTATTTGGTGGCTGCAAGGCCTGGCCCATGCTCAGTTTTATACCCTGTGTGCACATCAGGTGGGTCATGACTTCTTTTTTCTTTTTTAACAAATGCAAATAAAATAGTAAATATAAATTTCAGCTGTCTGTATAAAGGTACTTTATCCTGGCAGCTCCTTTCCTGTGCTGTACAAAAGTAACTGTTCCAAATCAGGCCTTTAAAATTTGGCATCGTGCTGCTCTGTGCATGTGTGTGTGGTTGAAGGGCTGGGAAGTCTGTGGGTAGACAGACTTTCATTGATACTACAACACATGTGGAATAAATAATAGTGTTCTCCCCTCCCCAGTAGCTCTAGATGTGTGTGTTTCGAGAGGCTGCCACCCTGCCTCTGCTATGATTATTATTTGTTCCTCCAACAGAAACAGTGTAACATAATCCATTGCCATAGTTTAACCTTCTTTATCACAAACCCCATGAAGCAGCCTGTAATCCCAGGGGATGACAGTGATATTGTTTAAGCTTTGTTGCTGTTCCAATTAAATTTGTGCTTTTGTGCAAAATACCTTGCTGGAAAAAGGACAGTAGTGAAGTGGTCCATTTGTGGAGGCTTCTCTATTTTATTTGCAGTCCTCCATCATCATCATCTTCCCTGATAATTAGACAACAAACCAGGACAAGCTGTGTCACCCTGCAGATGCATTGTAAAGCTAAGTGCATTCAATGACCCAAAGCATGGCATTATCTCTCGTAATGCATACCTCAGAGTAGCTCATTGTGCTCACAACAGTTTCAGTATTTTTAATTGCCATTTGTATGTCCAGCGCTTAGAAAACTACACATCAGGCTTTAATGGTTTGTAATTGCATGACTCAGAGTTTTAGATCAGGTTTCCATGTGTCTACAATAGCCTTACAAGAGCTTTTAATTTCTTTTTCTGAACAGGAGCTCTTGTACTCCTTGAAGAGCATGAATGTAGCTCCTTGACTGCATATCTTCTAATATTTTTTTTTCCTGGCAGCTATAGATAAATTAATTTCTCATTTGTCGTCGATAATATTTTTATAGTGAAAGTGAGGTTGAAATGGCTTATATATACTTCAACACATAAAAAGTGGAAGGTTAAAAATCATGTTTGAATTGGCAGTTGTTAAAATGCAATTATACCTCCCCAAGGTAGCATGGCAGGAGAAAATATTTTAAAAGTTCTCTCTGAAAGTTTAAAAATTCAATTAATGTCACAGATGTCTAAGCCTAGAGACTTGACTTCAGAGAAGGAGTTACTACCCAAGTTCCTGAGCTTTTATAAAGTCACCTTAGGCCCTGTTAACTGGCTTCATCAAAACTGCTTCCAGTGCATGGAGTGCAAAAGTATGTAAATAAGCACAAGAGTTTTAATCTGTGCTTTTATTAGAAGGGTGCAGCAGGATCATCTGTTGTGGGGGTTCTTTTTAAGACAAAAGTGTAAGTCAGTCCTTTTACCCCTTTTTTAATCCATCCTCCTATGCTTTTGAGAGGGTCATGCTACTAATTAGAAATGGGTTTTGAAATTTTTCAAGATGTTTCTTTGAAAGAATCAGAAACAGAATTGGGTTGAAAACCTGGCAATAAGGCATTCATATAAGATGCAGGGAAAAAAAATACAGTTCAAATCCCAGCATCCACACCTGCAAGCCTGGAAGCAGCACCTGAGCTCTGGAAGTGGCACCTGAGCTGCCTGCCTGCAATGGGAGCTGGTCATTGGTGGTCACCCCTCCCTGCTCATCCCCTGCTGTCCCTCTGCTGAAGTGGGCTCAGATTACTGGTTTGAAGGGAAATTAAAGAATGGTAGTGGGTGCCTCATGAGTCAGTGGATGATGCTTAACTGCTCTGTTACACACTTCTTTGGTTATTTTTATCAGTTTTATCAATTGAGGCTGCCATGATAACTTTTCCAGTTTTAAGATTTGGGGCTCACATGCTTCTCCAGAGCTTCTACAGCAGACACACCTAATGAAAAGTGTGTTAGTTTCAGTGACTTGTCATTAAGCTATGAATGTTACTCAAGTCCCTTTTTTAATTCCTGGGCCAGATTCTGTGCTCCCAAAATCCATACTATCAATATGTGTAACTGATGTGATGAAACCAATATCCTTCTCTGCTCTGTCTTGCTCAGTCTTTCCAGCAGCAACATAACTAATTCTAGTTTTTGTCCTGAATGATAACAAGGTAACAGTAAATGCTGTTACCTTGATAGCTGGGAGAAAAACATTAGCTGAAAATATTTTTTCCTTAGTTTGCTAGAATTTTTTTTTTTCTAAGAAACACTTAAGATACGAAGAAACAGAAAAGTTTTCCAATTACAGTTCTTTCTTACAGGTTAATACATTTTCTTATAAATAGCTCAGATCTGAATCCAACAGAAGAAATTTATTCCCAGAGGAGTATATGCTAGCTGTGCCTAAAAGTGCTGCACGAGCTGGCTGTGAAGCTTAGCCTGGCAACTAAACTTCGTAAGGTATTCAGAGATAAGGAAATATTGCCTTATCCAGGAGAAAGCTCTCGGTGTGGAATGACCTGGAAGCACTTTTTGGGGCGACACTGTGAAACAAAACGATGCCAGCGGTGAGGAGGGTTTGGCACGGCTGTGTCACACACAAAAGGGATCTTAAGGACAAATATTTCTTTGCCAGTGACAGATGTCCACAGGTTCTAGAAGGCCTTCTCCCATGTTGGGCAGGATAAGCCCTGTGCTGAGATAAGGTGGCTGGCAATAATTTCAGTGGGCAGTCTGACTTCCCATGTGCTTTTATCAGTCTTGGCATCAACATTTTACTTCCTTCCATTTTGCTGTCTTATCAGCCACCCAGATTTCATGACATTGTTTTTCTAATTAACATCCCTTCTCTCCCCTGCCATGATGGCTGCAACCAGCTGGAGGCATTTTACTCCATCTTCACCACTGAGCAGCAGGACCACGTCAAGTCTGTGGAGTACCTGAGGAATAACTTCCGACCACAGCAACGCCTGAATAACAGGAAGGTATCCAAGTCTGCTGTGAAGGATGCTTGGAACCAAGATATGACAGACATCTTGGAAAATCCACTTGGCACAGAAGCTTCCAAAGGTAGATTATGCTTTAGAATTTTGCACTTGACTAATAGGAGAATTTTTTCTGTCTACTTTGTCATCAAATGGTGTCAAGAACAGCTGTGAGCTACCAAAGAAATAATGTAGGTTGTGCAGGCATTCCTTGTTGGTAAGTGTCAATAAATTAACTAATTCTGCTTATGCTGCAAATATCTGTAGAATTTGCTGTCACAAGGTGTCATGACAATACAGCCTTAGAATATGTGGGTCTCAAAGCCACAAAATATGAATCTCAAACTGGCAATGTCCCTGGTTCTGCAAATTGGCTGTCGGGTCGTGGAGATGCCAGACAAAAAGGGAAAAGCAAAGGGCCAAGGTCAGAGGTAAAATTTCAGCCCCATTAACAATGGGGCATTGGGTATTTGAATGGAAATAGAGTGCCCAGATGTGGTTATGGGTTTCATTTCTCCAGTAACAAGTCTTCTGAAAAACTGCCGACCTTTTAATTCAACATTTGTATCAGTCTGTTGGTAATGGTGACAGGAGGAAAATAATCTCTTCCTTTTAGGCAGGTGATTTTCTAACATCTTGCTGAAGTGTTTCATGTGCCTTTTTGTAGAGCAGCTGGTGCTTGCTTCTGTCAGACACCAGCTAATGAGCTGGAGGGAGGTTCCTGTCACACTGGCACAGGCAGCCCTGGCTAGAGGAGCACATCAGAAATCCTGAGAGAAATGTGTTTTGGATAAAATAAGACTAGAAATAAATATAATTTACTACTTTTATTTGCCTTTATTTTACCAACTGCTGTTATTTATAGGTAGAAGAAATCACATGTACTTTTCAATCTTCAGTCTTGCGAAGTGCTTGGTGTTTAACCTCTACTTCACCAGTAGAGGTAAAGAATAGAGGGGCAGTTTGACAGAAGGAAACAGCTAAGCAGATTTACAAGCTTCCCTTTTTTTACCTGGCATTTTCACCTGGCCAGGCACAGAAAGTGCAGATTTTAGAGGATGTGAATCACAAAAACAGCTGCGTTCAGCAACCTCACCTTCCCAAGAGAGTGCTGGGAGAGTGTATTTCTCAGGACTCATTATTCTCTGAGCGTGTTTATCTATATATATATAAAATATACACATACACAAACCTCATGTACAAGGCAGCCTTGGGACAGGGAATTTGCATCAGAAGTGAGAAGGAGATCTTAGGAACAAAGAAACTCTGCTACGCTCGGATGCTCTGGCCTGTAGTTTTCAATCAGTGTTGTAACAGCAACATGTGTCAGTAATTTCTTCAGTTATATTCTCTGTACATATTATTTACCCAGAACAGTGATGAAAGTTAATGAGTTACATTGTGACTAGTTTTTATTTTGAGTGTAGCCAAGGTACAATGGTACAACATTCAAGGAGATTTAACTGCTTTGGCCACATGCCTGCATATTCCTCATCTTGCTGGATTGTTTTTAAGATTATAAAGAATCTTGGGGTGGTTTTCAGCACCATAGTAAATAACTGAAACCTACAATTTTGTCAAGAGCATTACAAACACTAAGGTCTCTAGTTAATGGGCTGATCTTGAATTTGGAGCTGTCAAGACCAAAGGAGCACCTTGAATAACCAGAAAGATTCACCATGACTTTGATCTTTAGGAACCAAGCACACGTGGCTTAGTTATCATGAGGTGAGCCAGCACAACCATTAGTCCATGTTTATGTGGTTTGGTTCCTGGGCAGGTTTGGTTTCCTGAGCAGGTTCTTTCTGTGTCCTCTGCCATTATGTTCAAGTACCCCAATGCTCTGTGTCTGTGCCTGCCTGGGAATTTGAATCTGTGACATGAGAGACCCTCAGGTGAGGAGCATACATTTCTCATGGTCTGACAACATTCAGTGTGCCATCTAATGGCAGGGATGAGGCTGGAGTTGGTGACTTCTTCCTCCCCCTCAGCTTTTGCTCTAGGAGGCTAATGGCTGGGCAGCCAGTTGTTTTGTACCAGCTCTGTTAGCCTGTCACTTTCTGGGTTATGTGCACATCGGGGGATACTGAAAATAGGTCCATTTTTTCCATGAACTTAAGATAAATAGGTTGGTGCAGTGTTGCTAACACAAAATGTAGTATATCCTCCAAAGGTTACAGGGATGAGATATAGCTGTTCAGAAATATAACAACGTGGATGTTTCTGGTCCCTTTTTTGACAAAGGTGAGCAGCAATGATGTGCCCGGTCCACTGCACATTCTGAACCACTGACATATAAATAAAATGAGTTGAAGTCATAATACTTGAGTGAAAGCAAAACCTGTTGTTTATTCAGCTAGTAAATATAGTGCCACTTTATACAATGTCATTCATGCAAAAGGACTGAGGAACAGAGTGCATCAAGTGCTTTCCAGCCAGACAGTCTTGCATACAAGTATAGAAGAGTGAAAGGTTAGCATTACAAATTTCTTTTATGCAGATTCTTCTGCATACCTCCTGGTTGCACCTCAGTGCTTTCCATATTGCATTAGGCAATGTGACCAATGGCTGTCACATGTTGACTCTTGTCTGCCCTCCCTGTTCCTGATTTGTGTGTTGGAGAAAAAGGCATGGTCATGAAAATGTGTCTTTTACTTGCTGCAAGGTGATATGGTTTGTGATGGTCTTCAGCTCTGCAGGGTAAGTTTGGGTATGTTTGTCGGTGTGAATTTTTGCAATTTGTTTCCTCTGTCACACTCGATTAAGTCTGTGGGCAGTATTGCTAATTTGGAAAACAGCATAGCATTCATTATGTAAGCCTTTCTTATTTTGGAGGAAAATGTGCCCAGAACAATTTGCGTAATGTTGAGAACAATTTTCAGAATTCCCCGGTGAATGGGGAATTTCAGATCAACACAAAGCAGTGGTCCATTGGCAAATGTGCCATTTTGAACAGTTTGAGACCAAAAAGGAATGTCTTTTCTCTCAGCTATTAAAGCTATCTCAGGTCACAGAACTGTGAGCAGTAGCATAACCTGCAGATACACTGGAGGAAAACTTTGTCACTCTATACCAGTCCTCTGAGTATTTCCTTAGCAAAGCCCCAAAAGTGGTGGCATTTGGTAACCAAAAGGTCTTCTGGGAAAGACTGTTTTAGGTCAGTGCTCTTGGATCCAGTTTGTTCACCAGTGTGAATGTTACCAGCCTTCTGCTTTGCAGTTACTCTCCTCTCCTTTCTCTTGTTTTAGTTTGAAAGAGGCAATGAAGAGAGAGGCATTGTTTTCAATCATCAGAATACAAGATGGTGAAATACTTCAGCTTATTTGGACTAATTTTTCACTTACAAGTGAAAACTCCAGATTTTCTTTTGTGTCAGAGTTTAACAAGAAGAGTTTTCCTTTATTCCATTATCTCATTGCTTCCTCCTATTGGCAAAAACTAATTTAAAACAGTTCTCTTGAGGACTGCTTGTATGCCTAGAATAAAAGCATATGCATAAGACCTTTGCTGAATCAGAGCCCAGGAGCTGAGCTTAATTTTTAAGTTGACCCTGGAGCTATTTCAAAAAACCATACAGATGATGTTTAAAGATTTTATTTCTGAAATACACCATCCAGGTTAAATACTGTTCAGTTATGTAATTTTAACAGCTGGTGGGTTGATAATAAACCCTTGTACAGTGATACTTTTTAAGAAGATGAAACTTTCAGAGATCCAAGCTATACAGTGGATCATACTGTTAAATGTGGCAGTTCATCATTTAACATGAGGACTCAGCCATATTACAATACTAATTTATGTAAAGTTTTGAAAAGTTAGAGATTCTCTGTACAGACATTCTAAGCCAAGAATGCATTTGTAACGGATTAATCAGATAGTGTAATTATCAGTGCCTGTGGCAGTGTCTGACTTTTTGGACAAGACAATCTCTGTTAAAATTGCTTCCTTTCTTCTCTGGCCTGTCCTCTGTGGCTCAGAACTGTGTTGCTCTGTCACATCATATATTGTGCTCCTGCAGCTCCTGGGCTGCTTTCAAGCAGCTCAGTAGAGGGATTGCTAATTATTTATTGCTTTAATAGTGCACATTGCTCTTCAGGGACAAACAGAATTCTTACATAGAAGTCTATCCAGTTCAAAGATCTGGGTCTGCCAGGGATTCTTACTACTTTCACATGTTGTCCCATCAAGCAGAGCTATGTTTACAAAACATTACCTGCTTTAGTAAAGGTGTAGGCATGGAAACTCAGGAGGAAAAGGTGTTTCATTTCCTTGTCTCAGGAAGTACCCCATGTGCAACAATACTTGCCCATTTTATTTTGCTGCTGATTTCATCTAATGTTGTTTCTTTATATTTTTTTTAACACTCAAACAAACCCTTTAACCTTTCTACTCATTAAATGTGCTGCATGCCTTACAACACTTAAACAAGCATCCCATGTGAGGGGCTCTTGACATCAGAGTTTACTTTCACAGATGCCTGATTACTTTCCCAAAGGTGTCTGATTACTCTTTGCTGGAGTCTCAAATGATGCTGTTTCCCATCAGTGGGATTTCGCCTCAAAGTACCATCTGTAATTATGATCCTAGGCTAAGTTAAATAATGAGCAGTCATAAATTCACTCCAGTAAAATTTAGCTTTGGACTCTAAATTAACATCTGGGACATTTCTCTAGTACTGTACAAGTGATAGTTTTCCTTACTGGTTTTTGTTATGTGGTAATAATTCACAGTTTGGAAGTCCTTTTAACTTAATGCCATTAAAACATGGATAGAAGATACTTGGATTTTCCTCCCTGCAAGCCTTGTGCTGGAAGCATTGCTCAGGCCAGAGGCCTGCAGCCAAAGGCACTGCACTGCTCAAGCAAAGCAGTAAAAAAAGTTTTTATTCACCATTTCATGGCTCCTGTTGTCAGAAATGAGGCTACACCCATCTGTAAAGGTGTTGCATTTCTGCAGAGCATTGGAGTGCACCTCCCATGCAGCAGCATCCAAAGGTGCAGAGATTCAGTGCACTGACATCAACACTTTGAGGCAGATAGTCTAGAGCATTGGCAGCAGTGTTTCTGAATGAGAACAAGCTATTTG